GCAGTGAGCGGAGATCACGCCACTGCACTCCAGCCTGGGTGACAAGAGCGAGACTCCATCTCCTAAATAAACAAATAAATAAGAATCTTGAGATGAGGAGGTTATCCTGGATTATCCAGTGGGCCCAATATAAGTACAACAGTCCTTATATAAGGCAGGCAGGAGAGTCAGAGTCAACAGGAGGAGATGTGATGATGGAAACCAGAGTGGAGTGATCGGAGGAAGGGCTGCGAGGAAAGAAACGCAAGTGATCTGTAGAAGCAGAAGAAGACAAGGAAGCCAACTCTCAGAGCTTCCAGAAGGAACTAGCCCTGTCAAAACCCTCACTTTGGCCAAATAAGAATGATTTTGGATTTCTGACCTCTAGACCTGTAAGGTAATAAAATTGTGTTGTTTTGAGCAACAAAGTCTGTGGTCATTCGTTACAGCAGTCACAAGAAATTCATACAGAGAGTTGAGTGAATGAGCTACCCCAGCACAGATGGGCACAAGGGCTCAGGGAGGCCTTTGTCAACCTGCACTTTGGGGTATTCTGCAGTCCACCTCCCATGCGCAGCCCAGGAGGGGCTGAGGATTAGAAGCCTGAATAGGCGTGATCCTGCTTGGTATATTTCCAAGTGTCTACTCTGATGCTGTTGAATTGGGAAAGCTCTAGCAACTTCCCTCCTTCTTGATGGCCCTCAGCGACCAAGCAGGGCCTTGGAGCCCTGGAACTTCAGAGCAGGGATGAGGGGGCAGTGGCCAGCCTTCATCAAGCCCTGCACTCCACCTGTGACCGGCACGGCTCCCAGCACATTGCCTTGCTGTCCCCCACTGCCTTCTCCCAGGCTGTTAGGCTGCAGTGGGGTGAGGTGAATAGAATGCTTGTCAGTGCCTGCCTCTGCCCCAACCCAGCCCACTCTGGTGACCAAAGATGCAGTGTCATAGCCTGAGCTACCTTCCTGCAGTCACCTTGTCTGCCTACAGTTTTCAGGAACGAAAGCACATTCCCACCAAAGCAGTCACGGCGCTACCTTGCTCCCATGCTAGTTAGACCTCTTGGAGCCCCTACAACTGTCTAGAAGGATGGCACCTTTTTCTGGGCTCAAATATGGGCAAGGGTGTTGTTAACAAGACAATGAGGGGCATGTGCTGGGAGGCCTCCCCCTACACGTCCACTCCCCAGGAGCCCCTTCTCTTGCCACTCCGTTCTTCCTCCTCCGGTCACCCATCTCCTGCTCCTTCCTTACTCACGCCCCCACCACCTCTCAGCCTCCCATGGTTCCAGCCTTGGCCCCTCCTGCTCTCCAGAGTTGCCTTTTCTCTGGGGAGGCTGCAAATAAGCCCAGCCAGGGTCTGGGGCTTGGGCACTGGCCCCCAAAGCTCACCCAGCCCTGCTAAGAGGGTGGGATGGGCAGGCCATGAGGCCCTGAATCCAGAGCCCAACCCCTTCCCTTTGAGCGTGGCAGTTCTACGTGCCTGCAGCCCTGCCCTTGGCCAAAACCAAGGGGTCTGTAGGGACCCCAGCCAAGAATCAGGCCAGCAAAAGTGCATGGGTTCAGGCCCTTCCTTGTCCTTCTCCCTAGAACAACTGTGGCTTGGTCATGGTCAGGCATTAGCTTTCCCCAGAAAATCACGTAGGAGTGCAGCATGGCCAGCACCCCAGGGATCAGGAGGCTGAGATCAGCAGAGGAGAAGGAGGAAGGTCAGGGGCAAGGAACCCTATCTGGGCAAAAGCCCAGAGCAGGAAGAAACATCTGCTGGGGGAAACAGAGGCAGCCCAGACAGATGGCCCTGCAAAATCTTCTCCATTGGTTCTACCTCCAGGGGAAGTCTCTGCAGGCCCCCACCCCCTTCCTGCAAGCTTGTGTAAATGCTCTCCCCTTACGATTCCAACAGGGTACTCATTCTCTCCTGGGACGCCAGGGAGCTGCCCTCCACCCCAATTACACGCACCTCACATGGGCCCCCACAGCCATGCCTGCAGCAAAGGTCTGGGCCTTTCTGACCACAGCTCGTGGCCCAGGCGCAGACCCCTGACCCAAGGTGGCCAACTGGATTCTCTCTCCTAGGAATTGGAGACTTAAACCAAAGAGGTGCCTGTTCTATTCTTTTAGAATGTTGACTCAGAAAATGATATGAGGTTGCCACATTCGATCCTCTACACATAAAGAGGCAGTGAAAGCCAGCCTCCAAAGGGAGAAAAAAGCAGGCCTAAGAGAGGCGGAGGGGAGACCATGAGGCCTGAGAGAGG